AGAGAGAGAGAGAGAGAGAGAGAGAGAGAGAGAGAGAGAGAGAGAGAGAGAGAGAGAGAGAGAGAGAGAGAGAGAGAGAGAGAGCTATATATATATAGAGAGAGAGCTATATAGAGACAAAGAGATAGAGAGAAAGAGAGAGAGAAAACGCTACAGAGAGAGAGAGAGAGAGAGAGAGAGAGAAAGAGAGGCAGAGCTAAATAGAGAGAGAGAGACGAGGAGTGAGACAGAGAGAGATGAGAAAGGGAGATAGAATGAGAGAGAGAACGCACCTTTTCTTTCCTCGATTTACAAATGTTGTTGGAAACAATGGCCCCGGCGACTTGGTTGATGATCTCAAGCCGCAATACGATGACGCGTGTCGCGGCGAGTGAGAGAGCAAAACCGCGCTTGGAAACGTGGGAGATTGCGACGCGAAGGAGATGGCGAGGCGAGGGATATGGCGACGAGGGAGAGAGAGAGAAGCGAGCCAAACGACGGGGGAGACGACGACGAGATGGATGTATCCCTCGACAACGAGATGGCTGTGTCGCTGGCAAGGGCGGGTGGTCCGGGCGCGCGACGGGCATTTTTGGCCGTGAGGGTTGGCAACACCTGCGATCGCCTGCTGCTTCGAACGATTGCAATGCCCACCTGCAAATTCGCGGAATGGCGCCACCGTCATTCGAATGTCGGATACATCCGCGCGGGGCCCAAGAAACGAAAGTTGGCGGGAAAAGTCACGCCGGATGACGCGTTGGAACCGTCGATATCACGATAAAATCCGCGCGGGCCCCGATAATCAAAAGTGGGCGGGAAAATTTGCGCCAGATGATGAGTTGGGACCGTCGATAGCACGGTGAAAAAAGGTCAGTCCTCTCGCAATCACGGCCCGCCCTCCCGCGACGGTTTCGGACCGTGCGATTTCGTGAGGAGGGTCCGTCAAAAAAGGGACCACCTGATGTCACAGCCCCCGACGTGGCAGTACCTGCGGTGGGCAGCTGAAGGGCCCCTCAAGCCCCACTCACTGCACTCTTCGTTCTCCTGTCGGGCACCAAACGAATTGGGGTGGCTGTCACACCCGTTCCCTGGTGTCATTTCTTTCGTGTGCTGCCTTTGCGACGCGTCCTCCATCGCTCGAAGTCGCCTGCATCATATCGCAGGCCCCTTGCGCGTCCAGGCCCTCGTTCTTCCAGCAATCGTCGATAGCCGGGGGCGCTAACGAAAACATAACGCGATTGTAGACCTTGCGCGTCGTCCCGTTCGCGCTGTGCTTTCTTGTGTTGGCTGGAGGCGTTTGTCGACTCGCAGGTCAGTAAGAAGCCCACGCCCCCTGCTCGACCCCTTCACCATTTCRAGCCCCCACCTCTTCCCATTGCCCTTCCGCTCCTTCGACCGTGCAAGTCTTGTTCTCTGCCACCACCTGCTCCGCCAATCACACGCGCACGATCTTGASCGCACGACGCCCACCGATCATAACGACGGAAGACCCCATGCAGTGACATGCTCTGACGTCATCATCTTGCACATGACGTCAGCGACGGGCAATGGCTTACGGCTTTCACAGTCATCGGCCTCGAGTCTTGGCGTCCTCAACATCGCTTGTTTGCTTCCTCAACATCGCTTGTTGGCGTCCTCACCATCGCTTGTTGGCATCCTCAACATCACCCTCTAGTCTTGGTGACCTCCGTCGACCGCATCTGACGCGTGGAGAAAGTCGCATCGCCCTCGAGTCTTGGCGTCCTCGACATCGCTTGTTTGTACACTTTCTTGGACCCTGGCTCGCGGGTCGTCCTCCCCCAGTCAACTTAGGATATCGCAATGCAGTCGGTCGTGCGAGTATTCTTCTACATCACCGCCAGCTCCGCCTATCACGCACGAGTCGACATGCTCGCGATCTTGAGTCCACGATGTCCGCAGCTCACAACCACGAAAGTTCCCTTCTACTTACACACGCTGACGTCACCATCTTGCGCATGACGTCTGGAATTCGAAATGGCCTGCGGCTTTCGCAGTCAAGATCATCGGACTCCTCCGACGACTGCATCTGATGTGTGGACGAAGTTTCATCGCCGTTGCTCCCAAGCGTCATCACCGCTGCGATAACACATCACCCGATAGACGTCAACACCGGAGACGTCATCTGAAAAACACGTGTCGATCGACTTTAAGATCCCGTTCATCCATCTCCGGTGTTGACGTCTATCGGACGATCTGTTATCACAGCGCTGATAGCTGGAAGCCTCACGACAAACACGCACCTCCAACAGGAATCGCCCGTGTCGCACTCACAGCCAACAGTGGCGAAGCCACCCATCCACAATGTTCAGCGACGACCCGTTGCGCATAACGGATACCCATGGCGAATCCGAAACATCCGAAATTACCGCCGATCCCGCGACATCCCACCGCCAAGGGCCAACTTCGAGCTCGTTTCCGATCGACTCGGTGATTGAACATGTTTATCGCGGTTGTGGACGACATCAGGATCTTTTTCTTGTTGTCTTGAACGTTCCCTGTCTCATCGCCCGTTCTCGCACACGCAGCTAGCAATGAGGAACCGCCACGCAACCGGGCGCGAGACGCCGGACACGCATCGACAACATTTTGGATATGGAAGTAGCGCTCACAAGTTTCATCGCGCCCACAGGAAAACTTCACAGCACCGCCGCCCATGCGGCAGCCCGTCCCCTCGCCACGATTCATTTTGGGCGAACTCGTGGAACGATCAGCTCTCGATCCACGCCGATCACATTTCGAGTCCAATTAATCGCAGCCTTGTTTTCCAGAGCAGCTTAGGGAGGCGTTCCCGGGATTGCAGCGGGAGTGAGAGAGTGTTGTTCGTGCCACTTGTTCCGAATGGAGTTCGGATTCATCCGATCCCGGGATAAAGGCAATAGTAGATGTCATTTGCGATGCCCGTGGTTGGATGACTCTGCCCCCCTTACATGCGACCCATTGTTTTCACGCAACGTTCCCCCATCAAGAGTTTTGAGGCGACCCCCTGTCCATGACAGCCCGCCACTCATGACTTCCGTTGGTGTTCTTTGTCTCCCACGAGGGGTTATGCAATTCTCAAGCTGGATGTTTTTTGTTTCGCCTCACTACGGAACGTGTGATGTAGTTCGGATGAATCCGAACCACAACCCTCGGCTCGTGGGAAGTCTCAACGGGAACCGCATCCCTCCGATGTCTCGGTGGAAGGGACAACGACGGCACAGGGGATCGCTTTCAAAGTAAACATCTCCAGAAATCATGACTCCGATAGCTCCCTATCTGCTTTTGCCTTGGTTTGTAGCTCGGATGAATCCGAACCACAACCACAAACGACTGACGGACGACAGTCGTGACTTTTGTCAGTGTTTATTTATTCCGCATTGGGTTGTGCATTACTCACACAGGACTTATAAGTTCCGCGTCACTCCTAAACGTGTGATATAGCTCGGATCAATCCGAACCACATCCCTCATTGCATCGGGAGTCCCGAGGTGAGTATCACGCCCAGTGACGGAAGGTCCCATCGGGAAAGGAAAACGGCGGCACACGCCACCCATCCTGAATGTAACATACGATAACCGATGGTGGGCACTCATGTGCATTAATCCGAGCCACGGATGGTCGCACGACAACCCATTTAATCTGCTTTTGCCTTCATTTGTAGCTCGGATGAATCCGAACCACAACCACAGACGAGTGACGGACGGCAGTCGTGGCTTTTGTCAGTGTTTATTTATTCCGCATTGGGTTGTGCAATACTCACACAGGACTTATAAGTTTCGCGTCACTCCTAAACGTGTGATATAGCTCGGATCAATCTGAACCACATCCCTCATCGCATCGGGAGTCCCGAGGTGAGTATCACGCCCAGTGACGGAAGGTCTCATCGGGAAAGGAAAACGGCGGCACACGCCACGCATCCTGAATGCAACATACAATAACCGATGGTGGGCACTCATGTGCATTAATCCGAGTCACGGATGGTCGCACAACAACCCATTTAATGTCTATCTTTCCGGGGCGGTTGCTCGGATTGATCCGAACCACGGATTGGTAGGCTTGTGAGAGACGAAATGTAAACATTTCAAAGGACGTCTAGGTATTGCCTGATTGAAACCGTTTGCTGTGGTCCGCATTAATCCGAACCTCATAACTCGATGGCGTTAGAGTCTGATTTGTCTGTCACATCGCGCAGGCGGGTCTAATGAACTGGGGATGGCACTCTTGGCTTTTGTTTTCTTGCACATGGGGCAGTAATGCAAACATCGCAAAGGACGTGTAACTTCCTACTGGCTCCGCCTTCGATTCCAGGGGTGTCTCATCCTTCTGCCACATCCCTCCGAGTGAGGCGAGGTCGCTGGGCGGTGGCTCGGATTAATCCAAGCCACGGATGACATCCCATTTAATGTCTATCTTTCCGGGGCGGTTCCTCGGATTGATCCGAACCACGGATTGGTAGGCTTGGATGAACTTCTGTCTAGAACTTCTGTTAGCGGGTGGCTCGGATTGATCCGAACCTCGGATCTGGGGCTTTGCGGTAGGCTTGGATAAGCTTCTGTCTTGCACTTCTGTTCAGCTCGTATTCAGAATGATCGTGGTAGGTAGAGTGTGTGCCTTCATGGCTCTGCGGAAAGTACTTGTCATGTCGATTGTGCGAAAACGTCTTCTGTAGATGAGGCGGTGTAATGTGGTTGTCCGGCGTCGGTGTGCTGTTCCGTTCGATGAGGGTCGTCCGACTGTTTTGTCCATCTCAATGTGCTTTACAGCGTGGGTTTTGATAATTTTACGAAATCCCGCATCTGCTCTGGAACGGGTCCCTGCGTGACTTTTAGAAAACACTCCATTGGCTTGGTGAACTTCTTATTGATGACCTTCTGTAAGGGCTTTGCAATGCGACGTGGAAAGATTTTTTTTTTTTGACGATTTCCGTTTGACGGCCTTCTGTAAGGGCTTCGCCGACAAAATACTATAGGGCGTTACAGCTGGGTGTAGGCCTCGTCGGAAAAATTATCATTCACCGACATTGTTTACGACGGTCTCCTCTTCCGTACATCTATCCATGTTTTCGTGTTGTGTATGGAGTTTAATGTCGTCGAGTCCTTCGACAAGCATCGCCATCACACTCGAGAAGCACATGCGCTTGGCGAAACCCTTTCCACCTTGTGCGAGATCGTTGCGGCATCATGACGGTCAAACGTGGATCGACGATGCACCCGAGGACGACTTCGAAGACGACCCATGGACGACCGTCGTCCCTTACATGAACCGGCATCTAGACGAATGGAACGAAAATGACTGGAAGGCGATGGAGCATTCCTGCCCATGGGCAAGCCACTACAAGTTTGCCAACATGTTGGAGTTCGGGAGCCTCATTGCACTGCCTGCTGGTGTCCTCCATCGAAAGACCCTGGACGGTAAGAGTAAACTGGTCTGCTTCCGTACCAGCTTCAGACGTCGCCTCCACTGCGAGTATATCACATCTTTGCCGTGAGCTTGGGGAAGTTCGCAGAAGCAAGAGTTGGTGGACTGCGCTCGTCATTGTTCATTCTTGGAACACCACCCACCCCGTTGCGCAGGGACTTCTCCACAAGCTCTGTCGTACTGTTGTGTGCGGTTGACGGATGACGGATGTCCTTTCGCCAGAGTGCTATGTGTGGCTTCTTCAAGCAAAAGCGGGAAACTTGTGGATGCAGTTGTGCTTGTGTCACGCAATGAGATGGTGCTTCAGGGATCCAGGTTCAAGGCGGTCATGTCTCGCCCAGATGTAGATGGGCGGTCAGACTTGGTGAGAGCAGGTCAGGTAAGAGTTTTTCTGTCACTATGGGATAATGTGGAAAAGAAAGTGTCTGAAATACGTGACTGTATAGGGAATTCCTTAGCACGACGCGGAGGGTTTGTCAGGATGAAATACATGTCCATGTTTTCGGAGAAGGCAACAATCGACAAGCCGCAGATCCATGTGTATGGATTATCTATGAATGCTATGTATGGCTTCTGTTCACGACCTCGTCCGCAGGAAACCCCGTATGTCACAAGATACGGACGTGTGGTCAGACCTTGTGTTTAAGGGAAAAGAAGACTCCCTCATGACGACTAAAGTTGACATCAGCGTTGTTGCATTTGAACTAGCACTGCAGACTTGCGAAGTTGATGTTCTATAAGTGTTTCGGATTCATCCGAATCATCAATCAGATACATGCGGGTGCACCCAACGTTGAAGGCGATGCATGAAGGCTTCCCCAAGGACGATCCTTGGCCAAACAACAACCCGTCAGATTCTGTATGTGCGAATCGATAACTGCAGACCATCGAGTTTATATTCTTGCACACCTTTGAGGCAAACGACGCTTCCAAACGGTCCGCCACCCTCTAGATTGTCTGGTACTGCCATGAAATGTGGTGCCCGTGTCCGTGGCCCTCTGTGCAACGGCCGCTGCATGGCAGAAAATGACGTGAGCGGCGATGGCCGAGGCTGCAATCATGTATGTCCACCAGAACATCTGTGTCTCGGATTCATCCGAAGTCGCCGGCTGCACAACCGTTTTCATTCTCATCCCCGCAAAAGTCGTCTGTTTCCCTGGACACCCGCTGAAAGAAACTCCTCTTTGCGTCAATACGCTGCATATGGGCCGATGATAAGCAGCCGCGCAGAATGCATAGCACGTCCCGATTGCGAAATCGTCGGGTCTTTTTCTCGCGACGGCGAAGGTTCGTGATCACCCCCGGCGACGGCGGCGATGGTTTTTGGATTGGATGCCATGAAATGTGGTGCCATGTCTGTAGCCCTCTGTGCAACAGCCGCTGCCAGGACGAAAGTGACTGAGCGACGCTGGCCGACGCTGCAATCAACCTTGTCCGGCATGTCATCTTGTGTCTCGGATCCATCCGAAGTTTCGGGCGGCTCGAGCTTCTTCCTTCTCGTCACCGAATGTTCAGCACCTGCACAGAACACAAAAAAACTTCCCGATTGGAACATCGTTGGGTCATCGCGTTGTCGACTCCCACATGATGATTACCGTGAACAACGGCATGATGGAAGGTCCGCCAACAGCCGCTGCCAGGACGAAAGTGACTGAGCGACGCTGGCCGACGCTGCAATCGACCTTGTCCGGCATGTCATCTTGTGTCTTGGATCCATCCGAAGTTTCGGGCGGCTCGAGCTTCTTCCTTCTCGTCACCGAATGTTCAGCACCTGCACAGAACACAAAAAAACTTTCCGATTGGAACATCGTTGGGTCATCGCGTTGTCGACTCCCACATGATGATTACCGTGAACAACGGCATGATGGAAGGTCCGCCTCTCTAACGGTGGATTGTGTCAAATCTGCTCTCAAAGATCCACACCGCAGAGGGGGGCCAACAATCGACCACTGCTTGCTTGTAAAACATCATATGATGTGTCGACACAACCGACATTCAGAACTGGACGGTGAGCATCTGGTGCTACGCCAAAAAGTTCGTCATGCGGCCGCAATATTCTCTCGCGACTGCTCAATTTAGGGTTCTCGCGTCATAGACTCCCTTATGATGACTACAGTTAACAGCGGCGGGGTAGCAGGTCCCCTTCTCCGATATGGATCTCACGGTGGAGTGCGAAACTCTGCTCTCAAGAATTCAGACCAGGAAAGGGGGCCAGCTATCAGCCACTACTTGATCGTACGGCATCATATGATCTGTCCTTTACATCGGCATTCGAAACTGTTTGGTGAGCATCTGATGCTACGCCAACAATT